TGAAACAGAAAAATGAACAGACAGAAAAAGTATATAAATGCCTTTTATTGTCTTTTCTGAGAAGCACATTAAACATAATTGTGAAATGAGTAAGTCATACCTGGTGACAAAATGTCCTCTATTTGTAAGGAATAATTCCTCTGCAGTTAACACGTGGCAACCTGTTTTTAAAACCATTACTGATGTCCAGAGCTCATTCGATTGGCTGGCTGGCTGGCTTTTACTTTGCTCGAGGATGATTGTGAGTTGACATGTTTGGTAAGAAGGCGGCATAAATCAGCTGAGTCATAATAATCTCTTATCTGTTTTTGGTCTTTTTGACCCAGGAGTTTGTGGCCTATGACATCTCTACTTTTGGGGATTTGCTAAAACAGTTTACAGTGCATAGATTTTAATTGATACCATACTGCTGGAAGTTGGCTAGCCCTGCCCAAAGGGGAGAGATGTGTTGGGATAAATTGGAAAGAGTTTAAGAAGTTATGCTAACATTTGATGCAAGAGAGAGGGGAGGCTACCGTTGGGAAGCCCCTTCACTTCTCAGCCTAGAACAAGGAGAACCTTTCCTTCACCCTAGTGTTTGCAGTGCTCCTGTTACTTACTGGCCTTCCATTTCACGACATCATCGCCAAGAAATATGCCCACGTGAGTTTTGCGTGTTGTTGTGTGCGGTTGAAGAAGCCTGTGGGTTGTTTATAAGGTATTGCATACCCAAGGCTGCAGAAGTGACAGTGAGGACTTGGGGGAGTGCTCTTGTCTGGGAAGGGAAGCTTGCTAGACATTACAACTCTTGTCCAGAAGCCAAATGGAAGATAGATCACCACTGGCCACCTCTCTTATTATTGAAATGGTTCAGCCCTGGCTTTTAACTGGAGGACTCACAGTGTTTTGAAGTGCAAATAAGATGGTGAAGGGTAAAACCTTTTAGGACTTCATGTTGATGGATTTTTTCCCCCCAGTGTGTGTTTCTAGCCCTGACTGTGATCTGGAATCGACCTTCACAGAAAGAAAAGTCTTGTTTTGTTTTTGATCAGCCAAGCAATAAGAACTTTCCATAGGGTGTGCTTTCCACGAATGCAGATGGAGCCGTGATAGGCTTTCCACACATTCATATGGACCCATTGTGTTCAGAAGAAGATAATTTAATTGGATCTATTGGGAGCCCTTTGCAGGGGTGCTGTCATTTCAAGGTCACATCTCTCTTGCTATTAATGCCCAAGTTTGAGAGCACTCACGGATGTGCTATTTTGTGCTCAGTAGTTTAGGAGAATTACTTGGAGCCAGCTCTTCTACAAGATGATAGTCATTCTGTAATTATTTAATCTTTTCCTATTGAGTTACCAAATTGTACACATTCATTTCATTATCTTGTGTATTTTGCCAGCCTTAAAAATAAAATGAGAAATTTTGAGATTATAAAAAAATGTATTTTGGGATTTATAAATATGCCAAAGTAAGGAAGTAAAGAAGACAGAAGCATTTAAATAAGAGATTTTAGTTTATGGAGCTAATTTTTAATCCCTCAAATAATTTAAACACAACAGGTAAAACATCTTTTAAATTTCATGGTGATTTTTGGAATATAAAGATGAGAGGAGTCATTATGGACTACAAAGTCATGCCAATTTTAGCATAACTTAAAGGTTTTCTATGTGCAAAATTTTAAAGAAAAATTAAAATTTTTACTAGGCAAATATCATTTGTGCTGCTCATAGTTCATAGAAATCCTGTTGCTGAGACTCTCCTTGGCCATTCTAGAGTCTTTAGATGTACCATATATATTTGTAATATTTGTACTTTTTGAAAATGATAATGTATTTCTCTACAACAGAGGTTTATCTCTGTGACTCTTGGCATTTGTTATAAAAATGGTTGTTAATCTCCATAACTGACATTGATCACAGTGTTTTAATTTAACCTCCAGGTTGGTTTTTGCTTATTTATTCTTCAGAATTCCCCCCTCCTGCTGTTTACATGTTAGAAGAATTTTCCCCTCCTGCTATTTAAATGTTAGAATTGCGCTTATTTCCCATTGGATTTGAAATAAGGGACAAAACTCCAAATTCTAGATCAGCAGAATCTTCTGCATGTAGCTTCCTGGCACTGGTTTGTTGCTGGGAGATGTTCACATGACCTCTCCTTTGTTAGAAGGGAGTCCGAGGCCCTTCCCAGGATGCTCTCCTGGTCTCTGTCTTTTAAGCCCGAGTTGGAGGTTGTCTAATTAATGAATGGTGAGCTTTTCTACTCTGAGCCACGCATATTGTTGACATTGTATCACACGCTGCTTTTTAATTTCTGATGTGCTTAATGGATTTTTAATTTGCAAAGCATGGCTGTTCCTTTCACAGCAGTAGAATAGAGTCAGCGTTTCTGAGTCCAGATATTGCTTTATGCAAACAAGAAGGGGCAGGGTGAAGAGGGCTGAACTGAATGAGGCCTTGGGTTTCCTGCAACACACAAGTCAATGAATTTCACTTTGAATATTGTTCAATAAAGGGAGGCACTTGAGAAGGGCTTTTCTTCCCAAGAGCATCTCTTGCCTCTTGGCTAGTGAATTGCCCCAATATAAAAGCTCTGGGAGGAAAGTGAGTCACAGAGTGAAAGGCAATCCACAAATGATCACTCTTTGCTGCCTTTGATTGTGTCAGATTTTGTTGTGTGTGTGGCAATTGTTTTCTTTTTCACTTAGGAGAGGTTTATGGTCCAGTGTCTGTCAAGTCAGACCCTGCACGAAGGTTTCGGTTGTATTTCTCTCTGAGTTCCTGGAGGTGATGTTATCTTTTGTTCACTCAGCAGTGTGGATGCTCTGGAGAGCATCTGTCACTCTAGGCATTCCAAGATGGATGGGTCTCCAGTGAACTGCTGGGTGAAGCAAATGGTGAAAACAAGAAAAGACAAGAGGTTTCTGGGTCTGCGGGGGACAGACAACAGGGCAACACTTAGAACTCAAGAGTACGCGAGGGCAAGGATGGGCCGTGTCGGTTTATAAACATCCTGCGGCTCACAGTCTTTTGGTGACTTGTTGTGGTCTGAGGGAGTGATCTACATCATGGTAACAGCTTTGTGCTTCTGATTTCCAAAGTGTGTATGTGTGTACATATATGTGTATGTATATGTGGAGATGTTAGGGAATAACAATAATGGTAGAGATGGTTTATGACAATTTTGCTTTAAAATGTTTTAAAGATTAAAGCTAAAAATTGAACATTTAACCATTTCAGTTTACTCTCTCTTTCTTCCTTTTCTCTCCTTTCTTTTTTATAAGCAACGGGCAACTAGTAGATGTTAAGACACTTGAAACGTTTTGGCCATGTAAGGAATATTCTCATTGTTCCCTAAATGCTTTTTGGCACTTCTGCCGGGGAGTTGGGGTACTGAGAGTTCTGTGCTTTAACAGAGGGCGGGTTTTAAGTTATTTTAAATTATCTCCAATTTCATTTAATGGGTTCTCTGATGGAAGAAAATATATAATTTTTATTGATGTCAGACGTTGGAGGTTTGTATTGTACTCGTTTTTGTTGGTAATGGTCACAGTGTGTAAATCCTTACTCATATAAAGTCCCTCCTGTGGGACAGAGAGGGAAGGAGGTTGCCTAGGGATAGAATAAGGGAAAGGAGAGGGCAATGTAACTGGGGAAAAAATGATTTTGGCAAACGTTTTGGCATCTGTCGACGAAAAAGCCCATCGGTTGAAAGACAAAGAAATTGAGATGGTTTAAAGCGTTACGCTGTATAAACGGTGGAGTATCTCCTTCTCTGCGGGCGTAAATAATAAATGAAAGAGGAAGAATGACAACAAAGGATTGGGTCCTTTAAGAAAATGTGTGCAGCCTGAATAGGGGTCTGTGGCCCAGGGCCAAAGGTCTTAGCTTTGAGTGTAATTAGAAGAAAATACAAAAATGTCATTATTAGCAGGTGAAGTGTGCAGCACGTGGCTAAAAATTAGCAATTTTAGACTCCAAAGCTATTGGAATTGGATTATTGACCTTTTTAAAAATCATTAAGGTACTTGCAGAGTCAGACAGTTCTCATCAGCAGTAATGCAGTTTGACCTTATTGACCATCTGGGGTAATCTTGGGTTTGGATTAGGTAGGAAGGTTCCTGATTCCAAAAGATGCTGTTTGTGTATGTGTGCGTGGGAAGTGTATGAGCTCGGAAACCCAGGGCCTGTATTTTTCACTATTCTTTTGTGAGAAGGCATTCTTCCAATAATGAGAGGGTAAGAGAAATGTTTTTTATCCCCAAATCTGAAATGTTTCTTTTCTCTCTTTCAAGTTGACATAGAAAAGGAAGTATGAAAACCTTTTCTTTAACATGACTTCAAGTATTTTAGTGTTATAAATATTCATATTGCACTTAATACATTCTTACAAAACTGAGAATTTTTAGTTTACTTTTTAAAAACATTAAGAATTACTTCTAAGTTATGTATAAAAATGAATGAGAAGTTGCTTTAATTCATTTAAGGCTTTATCAATTTATCATATTTTTCATGCAATAATTTACATCGACCATAATCTACTTAGTGCAGAGAATAATAGGCAGACTATTCAATCAACTATAGATAATTATAATCAATATCTCCTAGAAATGCACTGCTCAGAAAGATAGGAAACATTTCCTTCTCTTCTTGTGGTTTTTCTTCCTGGAAGTCATTTTGGAATTTCAAAAAGCACAAAAATAATATTTCAGTGTTAGTTATATGTGACCTTATTATATTTCTTTGAATAAATTAATTTTAGACAAGTATCAGGGATTGTAAAATTCCCAAATGCCCCCAAATAAGGAAATTATCTTACACTAATTCTATTCCAAAATAGTAGCAGTCTGTGAACTTTTACTGTTATGGTGACCTGTCCAGCTTGCACTGAGGGAAGGGCTGGGGCTTAAGAGAAACAGAAGTCACTTTGGATGTATATGCAGAATTTTAGATATGTAGATTATTATATTGTAGAATAATTAGAAATAACTTGTGGTTTTTGTGTGTTATATGTTGTTACAGGTGCTGAAGAACATTGTGATTACAGGCAAGCTCCCTGAGATGGTGACTGCCTAGCTTAACCATGAACACGATTCAAAAATGTTAATGTATGAACCAAGGTATTGTATGATTGCATTCCTGTTCTCAGACTTTCCATTGTCGAATTGTTCTTGTTCAGTTAGTCTACAGTTTAAATAACACTGCCGGGTTTGGTCCTTAAGCTAACTAAGCAGGCGTCATATGCGCTCCACACTGTTCTTCCCCACCCAGCGTGACTGCTCTCCATCTTCCCAACTCCCCCAGTTACGCTTACTCAGAAGCACGTTTTCCTCCCAACCCGCCCTGCATTTCCTGTCTACATAAACTGCAAAACTATGAATTCCAGGGCTAAAGAGAAGGCTCACCGCTTCTCAGAGGACTGGAGTTTTCCCATCACCCACGCCAGGTGCCCCACCTGAAACGCCAGCTCCTACAGATCCAAGGATTTCTTATGGCCTCCTAGGCACCCATACGCATGGCATCCCACACTCAGACATGCACACACATGCACATAGCTAAAAATAAATCTCTTTCAACTTTTTTATTTTTCACATCTTGGTTTGTTTTTTTTTCCTTTTTTAAAGTATTATTCTTTGAAATTTCCATTATGTCATACTCACCCTCACTCCCTCCAAGAATGCACTTTTTGGTTCCTCTTTGGTGACTATAATTTTCTTTCCAGTTGTCTGATAAGAGACTTCAAGGCCCTTGGTCATACAGAAAAATCCAACCTGTATTTAGTGATCACATATGTTTAAAATTCACGATACGTTGTTACAGGGGTTTAGTAAGATGTTTCCGGCTTTATTTTTAGAAGACTTTTAATTCAGAGGGGAAAGGGTGATACTGGTTCACCCTCTTCCGATATCAAGGGGAAATTTTGTTAGGAATTGAGGATTTGGAATGACTGCTTTGGGTGACTTGGCTTTTAGAAGGAACGTACCGCGGGATCTCCACTTCGGAAGCTGCAGTGTGTTTGAATGGCCCGGTGTTTTCAGGGCAGGCCAAAGATCTTTTCCTTTTTATGACCTGTTGTATCCTTTCGAGACCAGAGAGAACAAGAGGGTCATTGCCACTTCAGCCCAGTCCCTGTTTGTTCCTTAGTGATGACCACGAAGACACTGAAACCCAGTATTGGCTTAACATCTGGGAAATGGTCAGAGAGAGGGGAGGAGGCAGAAGGGAGAGGAGAACTGTTGCATTTTGTTTCACCAGGTGCTAGGAGGAAGCAACATTAGCCTTTTTGATATGGGAGGCAAAATCTGTGGGCCCTGGCGTTAGGCTGCAACAATTGAAAAGGTCAAAGGACAGCTGAGTGGGGTCAGCGAGACACCATGGGGTGTATTTTGTTACTTAGTAAAAGGAGTAGCCTCCTAAAACCTTAAAGGCTTCCCTTGGAAATCTGTGTTGTGAAAAGGTTTTATGAGTCTCATGGCAATAACTCCTGATTTATCTAAGGAGCGCTAGCTTTTGTCTAATGGAAGGATAACCCTCACCAAATGTTGGTGAGGACTGTTAGACTCAGCATAGGTCTGAAAGAGTAGTTAGGATTGGAAGTGTACTTCGCCTTCCAGAACATTTATCATTTTAATGTTTCTGTCACAACGAACAATTTTGCACTGTTGAAATACCGCCTTTTTCTTTTCTTGGAACAGAAAGCAGGGGAGGGAGCTGGTCACATTAATTAAAAATTATTCTACATGCTTCAGATCTTTCTTGTACACAGAAAACTGTTATTAAACCTTTTCCAAATACCAAAACTTGCTAACTCTAGAAAGTTATCTTTTAATTTATTTTTAACTTATTTATAAAGGGCCTACATGAAACACGCAGTATGTTCTGGCTCACAGGTTTTTTTTTTTTATTCTTATTATTTTGTGTGTATATATGTGGCTCTGGGGATTGAATCTTACACGTTCTAGGCAAGCATTCAGTCACTGAGCTACAGCCCTGGCTTACAGACTTTTAGTTCTAACTGTTAATGTTTGATGGGAGAAGACTATAAGCCGATGAGTAACTGTAAATCCTACACTTCTTCCTGAATGCTTTTCTTTTTCTCATATATGTTGTATCAGGAAGAAAAAACTCAATGTCAAAGCCAAGAATAAAAATGTTCTGTTGCATAGTCCAGTGGTGGAGCGCTTGCCCAGCATGTGAGGCCTTGGGTTCTGTCCCAACACCGACAAAGAATGGCCGTAAATAAGGGATGGATGCTGTCTTTGGAAGGAGTTGGAGAATCTGGGGGTGGACATCTGCAGGTTGGGAGAGGTCTACTTGCTTCAGCAGTGACCCCAGAGAGCACTGGATGATCTGTGAATACCTTCAAAGATAGCTAATACCTCCTGGCAGCTAGGTAATGGCAGAGTGGCGTGGGGCTTTGGCAGTATCTTGATATTCCACTTTCTACATTATGCATATGTACAGATGTAGAAAGAAAGTATATGTGTCAACATGCATAATAAAGAAAAGTCATGTGTATGATAAGCCTTGTTAAATTGGTTACTTTTGTAAATTAGTGTTGCAATTAACGTATTTATTAGCTACAGGCATGTGACTTTTTTTTCAGTAATTACAACTCCCGTTCAAGGAACACATACACGAGTGTCTATTTTCTCAAGGTTAAAGCCCCTTTCAACAGCTAATTTAGAAACCTGAGTGTGGTGACTGATAATTGCCTGGAGAAAACGCACAGCTGTTTAAGCAGCATTGAAATCGTGGCAAATCTGACAAGTGCAATCAGCAGAGTTAATAAGATAACGAAAGACTGATGGCTGGGTGGGGGGCGGGGGCGGGGACGGAACAGACTAAGCAGGCGCTCCACACACACACTGATGGGGCTTCCCTTGCTCCTCCTCTGCGAAGCTGTGTCCTCCCCCTTTTCATATTCCCCAAATTACAGCCCAGTGTGTTGCTTCACACCTGCAGGATGGAGGTAAAAAGCCCCAAACTCACATCTGATTGTAAAAAGCAGCTGTCTGATGACAGTATTTCAGGAAAAAAAAATCAAATATTGCTGAGTCTGAAGCACACTTTGATTTGCTAGCCTTAGATGTGCGTGTATTTTACTATTCTTGCTTTGAACCTAGATTTCTTTAGCCTTCTATGCAGTTTTTTTTAAAAGATTTTATTTATTATGTATACACCACTTCATGCATGCCTGCAGGCCAGAAGAGGCCACCAGATCTCATTATAGATGGTTGTGAGCCACCATGTGGTTGCTGGGAATTGAACTCAGGACCTCTGGAAGAGCAGCCAGTGCTCTTAACCTCTGAGCCATCTCTCCAGCCCCCTTCTATGCAGTTTTAATTCTTACTCAAGTGCAGGATAAGGGAACCCTGTTTCTAGATTAGATAACCCACCATCACTTCAAACCAAACAAACTGTAGGAATCTTTAATAATGTGTCCCTGCTTACACATCTAGTGGGTTAATGCTCATAACTCCCTTTCTAAACAATCTTTAAAAAAAAAAAAAGCAGTTGGAGCCGGGCGGTGGTGGCGCACGCCTTTAATCCCAGCACTCGGGAGGCAGAGGCAGGCGGATCTCTGTGAGTTCGAGGCCGGGCTGGACCGATAGCCTCCAAAACAATACAGAGAAACCCTGTCTCATAAAAAAAAAAAAAAAAAAAAAAACAGTTGGAGATAGTTAAATAAGAGAAATTAAGAAAAATTATCATTATCTATGCCTTTGCTGCTATGCTTTCAAAGTTACCATTGACATTTAAAAAGTTGTTTTAGGAGCATCTTTTAAAATTGCCTTTGCAGTGGGAAGTTAGCTTTTTCCTCTAGCGCCTTATGCAAATCTTAGCCCCCTCTCCAGAGTCCCAGCAGCTCTGAAGTCATGGCCATCCTCATGGATGTGGTGACCACACTTTGGAAGCTTTTCTCATTATTTAATGTTTTCTGCTCTCAGTTATTGACTTTCCTCCCTATTGAAAAATTGGTCTCTGGTGACATGGTGGGGGTCATGCAGGAATTAAGCCAGTTCCAGAGAGTCCTGACAAAATACATTTGTTTTACAGGAAGGTTCCCAGTTGGAACACTGTGTCCCTTTGTTACAGAGTGAAGCAGCATCCTGCTTCATCTTCCTATGGCAATGAATTTGCTGGGCATATCACAGTGATTATTTCTGTAATTACTGCAGATATTGTGTATCTGCTGAAAATGTTGGAATTAAAAATTTAGAATTAAGTTACTAAGGCTTCTTAAAAAAAATCCAGTGCTTTTGGCTTCAAAACCTGTCAAAACAGACATTTCCCAATCTCAAAGAGACATACAAAGAGGCTGAAGAGTTGTCTTCAGTTTTGTTTTGTTTTTTTTTGGGGGGGGTTGAGGCAGGGTTTTATTGTGTAGCCCTGGCTGTGCTGGAACTCACTCTGTAGACCAGACTGGCCATGAACTCAGAGATCTGCCTGCCTTTGCCTCCTGAGTGCTGGGATTAAAATCATATGCCACCACCACCCAGCTTTAAAAAAAAAAAAGATGATTGCCTTTTCAGATCTTTAGCAAGGAGGATAGATAAAAATGCAATAAAACATGTTTATTTTGAATGTGTGCTTAGCTTTGTCCATTATTGGAATGTGCTTAGAAAGAAATAGCATTGCTTCAGATCTGCTTAACAAATAATTGGATAAGACACACAAAAATTCAGTCTTCCCCCTCTCTCTTTCACTTAATTCTGGTTTTACAAAATATCTACCCCTTTCAAAAACCCACCATCAAATAAGGGAGTTAAACAAATACTAAGCTCAGCTAATACAAATAATTAAGGGTAGCAAATGTCTATTTAAAAGAATAAGCAGAGCTGAAATTTAGCTCAGTAGCAAAGCACATGCCTAGCATACAGAAGGACTGGGGTTCAATCCCCAGAATCAGTAAATAAGTAGAAAGTAAAATGCCAAGAAAGCAAACTGTGAATGTGTATTTGTCTTTAGTTTGGGGTGGAAAGCTCCATATGAACCTCTAAGAATTGAACTTGGTGTGTTCGTCTGAGATCCGCACATTATCACTCCCAGTGCTAGCCACAGAACCCATGGTCTCTGCCTGCTGAGAACACGATCTGGCACTGAGCTGTAGCCCCAT